TTTTACACGTGGCAAATATGGAGACAACTTTCATTTATAGTAATATTTAATGGGACCCACTGAAAAACTTTCTACTTTTAGTAAATGTGTTGTTTAATTATATAGTAGATAGACTATTTCGTTCTCCCGCATAAAGCAGTTACAAAACACCAAATTTAATATGTATTTTTTTTTGGCTTTTTTCTGTAATCAACTCCACATAATGTAGCGTTATCTTTGACTTTTTCAAAAATCTCTATTTGTAATAGAAATGTGTGACCATCATGCAGAAATAATTATTTCAATTTTTTCGCTTTCTTTTTGTTTGGAATTTTCGGGTTTAGTTCTTTTTCTTTTTGGTATTGAACTGAAAATCTCGCTGGTCAAACATCGATTTGGCATGTTTATAGGGGAAGTTTGGGTAAAATGCACCAAACCCCCCTGTAATATACTAAATTTGCGCGTTATCCCCCTCTATTTTAAAAAATGCGTCAAACCCCCTTCTATTGTAGTTTGGCTTGCGCGAAACACCCTAAACCGTCTAAGATGACGGGGGTGGTGTGCTAGCCAAGCTACAATAGAAGGGGGTTTGACGCATTTTTTAAAATAGAGTGGGATAACGCGCAGATTTAGTATATTACAGGGGGGTTTGGTGCATTTTACCCTGGGAAAGTTTTCAAGAACTCTGAAGGTTTGGTTTTTTTACGGAGAGAGAAATAAAAGATGCACAACATAGGAGAATGAGTGGAATGACAAAATCTACCAGCGAAATTTGTCTCTTACTTCAAGGAGCTGAGCTGACTCTTCCTAGCTCAGTACTCTTGTAACCGGAAGCAGATCAAGGATCTTGACTACCTCTTCAACCTGAAGAAGAGCGTCACTGAATCCATTCGAGATTCCACTAAGCGAACAGAATTTTCGGTGTTCCTACTTTTGGTCATGGGTTTTGTAAACCCATAAAGAGGAAATAGGCTTTCATCAATAATGGACCTTTTTTATTGTTACAAAAATATTGATTTGTCTATTGGGTCAATAGCAATTACATGATTCTTTTTTTTGTTTTTTTTTTTGTTAAAAAAAATGTGTATTGGGTTCCATTTGATAATTATTTTTTCAGGGCTTTACCTTGTCGGGCTCATTAAACAAAGTCTTACTGAGAATATTGGCCAAATTCACTGTTACAGATTTATTTTTTTTATAAAAAATTAAGCCCAATTCACCACATTTTTTTAATATGTTATCCAAGCCAATTCAACAAATGTTTATAAATTAATAATTATTTGTTCAGTAGATAATTTTGATCCAAATGTTTTTATTTGATGACAATTATAACAAATTCGACACACATTTTATTATTACATATTTGTTTGAGGGTACATTTCAAGTTTCAGCAGAGACCATTTCCTATCATGGTCTCCTATGCTATGACGATCAACAAGAGTCAAGACCAGTCTCTCTCACGCGTCGACTTAGTCTTGACGAACCATGTTTCAGTCATGAACAATTGTACATTGCTCTTTCTAGAGTCACGAATCGGAAGAGTTTGAAGATAATGATAATGTGGTGATGGTGATTATGATATGAAACTTTTAATGTTGTATATGAAGAAGCGCTTAATACTATTTAGAATCATTTTCTTAACTCATATTTTTTCATGAATTAAATTATGATTATGTATTTTTTTTAATTGTTTTCTTTTCTACGTGTTTTCCTCCGTGCAAATGCACGGGATAAATACTAGTAGAATGTATTTCGTATTGCAAGTTGATATCATTCAAGTAAATAGATACACAATTCATCAACGAGTGAAGATGTGGGCACACCATTCAAAGTAAATAAAAAACATTAATATGTATTTTTAATAAGATGTGAGCAAACAATGCAAGTCGAATGAATGACAAATGCAATCAAACAATGACAGACGGACAACTTTTATTTTCGTTGTACGACAACACAATATTTTACTACATTTAAATGCTCCAAACAAAAATGCTTCAACATGAAGCGTTTTAATTTAGCTTAATTGCCGCCAGCATCACGACCTTTTACATTTTGGACATTTTAACCAAACCTTTGGAAATAGGCAAATATATCACGACCTTGTATAAAAATTGCAACCCGAACCCAATGTCTGTCGGCGGTGAATTTTTTGACAGCGTGTTCGGCGTCCCTTCCTACGTGGCCTCGACTGCTCGCTGAATTGGCACAACTAAACCGACGTGTTAAAAACTCAAAATACACGTGTGATACACACAAAATAAAAACCGAATCGGGGTGAAAATTCTAATTATTTTTTCTCCAAATTATTTCTCCAAACCCTAATTATTTCTTCCCCAAATTTCGCAGCTAATTCCCTAATTCTAACCCCAAAATTCGCAGCCAATTATCCCCAAAAATCTCACCATATCTGGCCTGAAATATCTTGCTCATCTCGTAGAAGCCAAAATTCCGAACGGTAAAGATGCGATCGTTCTCACCTCCATGACTAATGATAATCCATGTAGGAGGTTCTACAGATGTCGGAATAGAGAGGTAATGTAATTGCAATGAGAATTTGGCTGAGAACAACAACAAATTGTGAACCAGTTTTCAAAATTGTGAACCAGTTTTCAAAATCCGACAACAACAAATAAAAAATGAAAAGTGATGCCCATACCTGTCACTCATGGTCGCAACAATGGGGCCGCGGATCGTGACACCTTGTTGGCCCGATTGGATTGGAACAAACGCAGGTTTCTTCGATTTCGAGAGAGAAGGATTTTTTTTGTTGCAAGTTGGGATTAGGGTTTGTTAAATTTTTAGGCCCCGATTTTCAATTTATATATGGGGTGGGTGTCCACGTGTATCACACGTGTATTTTGGGTTTTTAACACGTCGGTTTAGTTGTGCCAATTCAGCGAGCAGTCGAGGCCACGTAGGAACGGACGCCGGACACGCTGTCAAAAAAATCACCGCCGACAGACATTGGGTTCGGGTTGCAGTTTTTATACAAGGTCGTGATATGTTTGTCTATTTCCAAAGATTTGGTTAAAACGTTCAAAGGTCGTGATTTTTAAAGCAATTAAGCCTTTTAATTTTACCTTTTTTGAGTAAATAAGCTAAGAAAAAAAAAGAAGTTGTTGAATTCCTAAAATATTCGTGGAAAATGATTTTTTTTTTTTTT